GTGGTGCTGACCTACAGGATGCGGGGGTTCACCAGTTCACTCCTGCGAGTCAGCGGGTGACCCACTGCACGGACGCTCGGACAGGCCGACACCTGGCCACGTTTACACGTCGGCCGGGGTCGAGCCTGTACACACTGACCACTGCGTCTCCTCCAGTCACTGCGTCTGGTCAGGTAGCTGCGTCGGGTCAGGTGTTTGCTGCATCGTCCAGGTCTGGTCCTGAGTCTGCCCCCTGTTCGTGTCGCCTCCTGTCGCACGAGACTCTCCTCTGGCACCACCGCCTTGGTCACCCCTCCCTGCTTCGTCTCCGAGGCATGGCCTCCCGTGTCCTTGTCTCTGGTCTTCCCCGGTCCCTCCCTCCCCTTCCTCCGGGGCCCGGCCCTACCTGCGTCCCTTGTGTCGAGGGGCGGCAGCGGGCTGCCCCTCACTCCTCCCAGTTTCCTCCGACAGAGGCCCCGCTGCAGACGCTTCACATGGACGTGTGGGGCCCGGCCCGCGTCCGTGGACAGGGTCACGAGCGCTACTTCCTGCTGGTGGTTGACGACTACTCGCGTTACACCACAGTCTTCCCCTTGCGCAGCAAGGGTGATGTCACTGAGGTGTTGATCGACTGGATCCGCGCAGCTCGTCTCCAGCTCAGGCAGAGCTTCGGCTCGGACTTTCCTGTTCTGCGTCTGCACTCTGACAGAGGTGGAGAGTTCTCCTCTGGCCTTCTGCGAGCCTACTGTCGTGCACGAGGCATCCGCCAGACCTTCACGCTTCCGGAATCTCCACAGCAAAATGGGATTGCTGAGCGCCGCATTGGCATGGTCATGGACGTCGCCCGTACGTCCATGATGCATGCAGCTGCCCCCCATTTTCTGTGGCCGTTTGCGGTTCGGTACGCGGCGCATCAGATCAACCTTCACCCCAGGGTCTCCATGCCGGAGACCTCCCCAGCCTTGCTGTGGACGGGGAAGGTTGGCGATGCGTCTGCGTTCCGTGTCTGGGGATCTCGGGCGTTTGTCCGCGACTTGTCTGCGGACAAGCTGTCCCCTCGTGCTGCTCCTTGCGTCTTCCTTGGCTTCCCCCCTGACGCGCCAGGGTGGCAGTTCTACCACCCCACCTCTCGCCGTGTTCTGTCCTCCCAGGACGTCACGTTTGACGAGTCGGTCCCCTACTACCGCCTCTTCCCCTACCGCACTCCGTCCCTCCCCCCGCCACCGCTCTTCCTTGTACCAGGTCCCCCCCGGTAGACCCCCTCCCCCCTCAGGGTCCTGCCCCTTCAGGTGTGTCCCAGGTAGACGCAATCGAGCCTGTCGAGGTTACTGGTGACTCTGGTGCTGCTGAGGGTGCTGAGCCTGGGGCTGCTGACTCTGGGGGTGCTGAGCGTGTGGGTGCTACGCCTGGGGGTGCTGAGCCTGAGGGTGCTACTACTGGGGGTCCTGAGCCTGGGGGTGCTGAGCCTGGGGGTGCTACTACTGGGGGTGCTGAGCCTGGGGGTGCTGAGCCTGGGGGTGCTACGCCTGGGGGTGCTGAGCCTGGGGGTGCCACGCCTGGAGGTGCTGAGCTTGGAGGTGCGGAGCCTGAGGGAGCTGGGCCTGCTCGTGTGGCGTCTGGCGGTGCTGAGCCTGGAGGTTCTCCGGGTGCTTCGTCTCGGCGGGAGCCACTCTCTCCACAGGAGCTGCGCGAGTGGTTTGCCCGGCGCTGGAGGCGTGCTGCTGGAGCTGGAGGTTCGTCGGCTGCTGAGGGTGCTGGTGCCGCGGGTCCCGGAGGTGCTCCTACTGGGAGTACTGGAGCTGCTGGGCCTGCGGGTACGACTGGAGCTGGAGCTGCTGAGGGTGTTGGCGCTGAGGCTACTGGTGTCGGTCCTGGAGGCGGTCCTGCTGGGGGTGCTACTGGTGCTGCTGGAGGTACTGGAGCTGGAGGTGCTGCTGGCGCTGGTGCTGCCGCTGGGGGTACTGGTGCTGTCCCTGCTGTATCTGGAGTCGCCGCGCGACCTCGGCCGTACTTCGTTCCGCTCCTTCAGCAGGTTCTTGGTCTCCCGCCTTCTACTGGTCCTCCTCCTCCCTTAGAGTGTCCACAGCCTGTCCCGTCACAGTTACAGTTACAGCCGGCCTCCCCAGTGCCCGCTCCTTCTCCCTACACTGGTCCTACTGGAGGTCTTGCTGAGCGTCGTGAGCCTGCGTCTCGCCCTGCGTCGCCTGTCCGTGCTGCTCGCACTAGTGGTCGTGGTTCGCGTCAGCGTCCTCCTCCTGTCCCTGGCACGCACCGGATGTCTCTGCGTCCGTCCACTGCTCCTCTGCGTGCCCCTTTGCCTTCTCCTCCTGAGTCCTCTCTTCCTGCTCTTCCTGACCCGGAGTCGGACTCTCTTCGTGCTGCCAGTCCTACTGTCACGCGTCTCCTTGCTACTGTTGTCACTGACCCTTCCTTTGAGTCCACTGCTGCGTCTGCCCTAGTTACTGAGCTCGTCGACTTTGCTGCTCGCTGTCGTCTAGACTACGCTGCTAGTCTTGTTGCTGAGTCTGAGTCTGTCTGTCCTCCGTCCGTCGGGGGTGAGTGTGCCCTTGGCACGGACGTCCTTGAGGACAGGCAGGAGGAGTTCCAGTGTTTGGCTGCTGCTTCACCTCATCTCGTGTCCGTACTGCTTACCCCTGAGGGAGACCCGGATGCACTTGACATCCCGACTCCGCGCTCTTACGCGGAGGCGATAGAGGGTCCCTACTCCTCTCAGTGGCAGGCAGCTATGGACGCAGAGATGGCTTCCTGGAAGTCCACAGGCACCTACGTTGACGAGGTTCCCCCGCCTGGGGCGAACATCGTCAGTGGCATGTGGATTTTCAGGGTGAAGCGGCCGCCGGGTTCTCCGCCTGTCTTCAAGGCGCGTTACGTGGCTCGTGGCTTCAGTCAGCGGCAGGGAGTTGACTACTTTCAGACCTTCTCTCCCACCCCGAAGATGACCACTCTTCGGGTACTGCTGCACATAGCTGCTCACCGCGACTACGAGCTGCACTCTCTTGACTTCAGCACTGCTTTCTTGCAGGGCAGCCTGCACGAGGAGATCTGGCTGCGTCGCCCACCTGGCTTCACTGGGCCCTTTCCTCCTGGCACCCAGTGGAGCCTCCGGCGGCCAGTCTACGGTCTCCGCCAGGCACCGCGTGAGTGGCACGACACACTGAGGACTACACTTGCGGCTCTTGGGTTTGCTCCCTCTACTACCGACCCGTCGCTGTTTCTACGCACCGACACTTCTTTGCCGCCGTTCTACATCCTCGTGTACGTCGACGACTTGGTCTTCGCCACAGCTGACACTGCTGGACTCGCCCACGTGAAGTCCGAGCTGCAGAAGAGACACACGTGCACAGACCTGGGTGAACTGCGTAGCTACCTTGGCTTGCAGATCACCCGGGACAGAGCACGCCGCACCATTACCCTGACTCAGTCACACATGGTGCAGCAGGTCCTTCAGCGCTTCGGCTTCACGTACTCCTCGCCTCAGGCCACTCCTCTGCCTACTCGCCACTCGCTCTCAGCTCTGCCTTCGGATGAGTCCGTAGAGTCGAGTGGCCCGTACCCAGAGCTTGTTGGCTGCCTCATGTACCTGATGACCTGCACACGACCTGACCTTGCATACCCTCTTAGCATTCTTGCACGCTATGTTGCTCCTGGGAGACATAGACCGGAGCACATGGCTGCAGCGAAGAGGGTGTTGCGCTACTTGTGCAGTACGTCGGGCATGGGGCTTGTGCTTGGAGGGCAGAGTCCAGTGGTCCTCACTGGGCACGCAGACGCTTCTTGGGCTGACGACCAGGCTACGCAGCGGTCGTCACAGCGTTACACCTTCAGCCTTGGTTCCGGCTCTGTTTCGTGGCGGGCTACCCGCTCGTCTTCTGTTCTCGGCTCCAGTTGTGAGGCTGAGATCTACGCCGGGGCCATGGCTGCACAGGAGCTTCGCTGGCTCACCTACCTGCTGACTGACCTCAGAGAGCCGCCTCGTTCTCCTCCAGTACTGTACGTAGACAACAAGGCCATGCTGGCCTTGTGTCGAGAGCAGAGACTGGAGCACAGAACGAAGCACATTGCTCTCCGCTACTTCCTTGCTCGTGAGCTACAGCAGCGTGGTCAGCTGCGGCTTGCGTACGTGGCCTCTCAGGCCAACACTGCTGATATCTTCACCAAGGCACTTGCGCCTTGTGATCATCAGCGCTTCTGTACTCAGCTGGGTCTTGTGCCTACCTTGCCTCACTTGCTCACCCCTTGACCTTGTTTGTACTGTTGCATATATATATACACCTGCTCTTGCTTGTCTAGCCTTATATATATATATGTAATCCTGCATGTGAACTGGCCTTGTGGCCTTGAACTTGTGCTCGGAATGTGTGGTGACTTTGTGATCCACCCTGAGCTTGTTTTGCTTTGCTTGACTGGTCTTGTGACCCCTTGTTCTCCCCCACTTTGCCTATGGGGGTGTGTCAGATTTATATGACATAGCTACTGTAGGCTATAGTGGGGTAGCACATATGGGGTACAGTTTTCCTAGGGTTTGCATTTGTACCAAACTTTCCCTTAGTCATTTCATCCCTCGTTTCTTCTCAGCCTTCCACCTGCATGCAAGAGTCTACACAAGATTAAGGGACGCGGAGTGGAGGAAGCGCCGGGGTACACAACATGAAGAGAAATTCCGCTGCACGATGGAGAGCGAGAACAAGCTACTGTTTCGGATCAGGGACAGAAACAACAGGTCGTGAACGTGGACGAGGGCCTTCACAAATCTCTGGCTCGCACCGAGGATGACTTACAAACCTCCTTAGAAGCCGCACCTGGGCCAGCCACGTGGTACGACTGTTAATGTTTATGTATCCTTGCCCTATAGGTGTACATATCAATTAGCTTAAGATATTAAAATAAAACAAGATTCGACGTTAACGTCGGAAGGGTTGCGTAGCACTTATATTTTTCGTGCTAAGACATGATGAACTGCTTGATGTTATACTTATGGTATATAGAGAAAGCATTTAACTATGCCTTTTTATAACATGCTTGTAAGTTCTTTATTTTGTTACTGCTCATTGTATTTTTTTACTACCATTGATTGTAGTTAATGGCAGAAGATTTAAAGACCTATAAGTATATTTGTTTTCCTAAGAAATATTGTTTTCTAGTGAGTTTGTGTATTTGCAGCCAAATCTTGTGAGTCACAAACAGCTAGAAATAGTCATATACAAATTTCTTGATTTTGGAGAGTATAAAGGAACTGGTGTATTTCGATTGTGAAAACTGGTTTGTGCCTCGTTGGCAGAAAACTTTCTTGCCAGCTCTACACAAACCCAACCAAACCTTTCCCCACTGTCAACTCTGCTCCCTGGGGAGTAAAGTAACGGGGAGTCCCGTTTCTTGAATTCAAGCACCTGCTTCACTCTGATCTCCCCTTATTCTTCCCACCCAAATACCTTCCCACTCGTTTTTTTAGAACCACCTTGCCGTCACCTCTCCCTCACTCCCGGCCGTCGCCTCACCTCACCCCCCCACCGTCGTCTCTCCCTCCCTCCCCGCCGTCGCCTTTGGTGGGTTGCTGCACGACCACACGTTGTTTTCTTAGGCACGGTTGTCTCAGGTGCGTTTGCTACTCTCTCCGAAATGTCATATTTTTTCCACTTTCCTCGTAAGTTCTCAATGCCGATTGGTCTCCTCTTAGCATTGTGCCTCCATTTTAAGAAGGGGAGAGAGGGAGTGTGAGGGAGTGTGTGCGCACGGGAGCGAGCACGCAGGCGCATAGCGCGCTGGCGCCTAACGGGCTGGCGCCAAACGCGCTGGCGCCTAGCGCGCTGGCGCCTAACGCGCTGGCGCCTAGCGCGCTGGCGCCTAACGCGCAGGCGCCTAGAGCGCGCCTAGCGCGCTGCCGCCTAGCACGTTGGCACATAGCGCGCTGGTTCCTAGCGCGCTGGCGCTTAATGCGCAGGCGCCTAGAGCGCTGGCGCCTAACGCGCTAGCGCCTAGCGCGCTGGCGCTTGCTGCGCTGGCGCCTAACGCGCTGGCGCCAAACGCGCTGGCGCCTAGCGCGCTGGCGCATAGCACGCTGGTGGCGCCGGCGCCTAGCGCGCTGGCGCCTAACGCGCTGGCGCCTTACGTTTGGCGCCTTGCAGGTGCCCTCGCAGCGCGCTGGCACCTTGTAGCATGCTGGCGGCTTGTGCGCTGCTGCCTTGTTTGCGGCAGCGCGCTGGTAAATTTGTGCACACGCTCACGCGTTGCTGCAGTGAGCTCACGCGTTGCTGCAGTGAGCTCACGCGTTGCTGCAGTGAGCTCACGCGTTGCTGCAGTGAGCTCACGCGTTGCTGCAGTGAGCTCACGCGTTGCTGCAGTGAGCTCACGCGTTGCTGCAGTGAGCTCACGCCTTGCTGCAGTGAGATCACGCCTTGCTGCAGTGAGCTCACGCCTTGCTGCAGTGAGCTCACGCCTTGCTGCAGTGAGCTCACGCCTTGCTGCAGTGAGCTCACGCCTTGCTGCAGTGAGCTCACGCCTTGCTGCAGTGAGCTCACGCCTTGCTGCAGTGAGCTCACGCCTTGCTGCAGTGAGCTCACGCCTTGCTGCAGTGAGCTCACGCCTTGCTGCAGTGCGCTCACGCCTTGCTGCAGTGAGCTCACGCCTTGTTACGGCAGCCCGCTTGCTCCTCTGCCAGTGCCTTGCTGCAACTCTCTGGCATCTTGTAGCATGGCGATGCCCAGCTCGTTGCACCAAGGTACCTTGCTCGCTGGAGCCTTGCTGCACACCAGCGTGGTGTACTTATCATATTTCTGTTGTCCTTATCATATTTCTTTCAAGTTCCATTTCACAATCAAGTTCGTGTTCGTCATTGAATAGTTCACTCCGTTTTCCGACTACAATGATTTTTCTGCTTGACCTGTTTGTTTTGCAAGGTGTGCGAGGCGCGTTGTGGGGAGCAGGGAGGGATCGAGAGAGAAGACAATGTGGAAAAGGGTGGGAGGAGATTTCGATGGTTGAGGGAGAGGAAGGAAGGCAGAAAGGGGGAGTAAGGGGGGGACAAGGTAGCAGTGATTGATACATAATTAACTCATTCAAGAGTGTTTTTTATCCACTGTTCGAGGCATCCGTTTGAACACAGTTTCAAAACATTCAAACGAGTGTTCCAAAAAGTGCGCAAATAACACGCTTCGAATGATATCCCCAAAATGTGAAACCGAATATAAAGCGTTGCTACGCAACCCAAAAATACAAAGTACCTAAAGTGCGGCATATAAGGCGTATATCCCCCTCTCAGCAGCAGACAGAACCCTGCCTCTTTGTGCCTTCATGTTCTCTGTGCGCTTGTTTAGGGAGGTCGGACGCAGCCATGGACTCTTCGCCCTCCTCTTTCTTGGATCGCCTCACGCGGAATGCGCCGGCCGTAAGCATCGTTTCCCATCCCTCCAATCTGTCACTCTGTGCCCTCTCGCTGCCCTCTCGCTGCCCTCTCGCTGCCCGTTCGCCCTTGCGGCAGTCGCGCGGCCTCGTCGCGCGGAGCTGCGGAGCAACACGGAGTGGCGCGATGCTTCGCATGATTCTCGCTCGTGCCAGTGACGCCCGTAGTAGCCATGACCCTCGTGCCAGTGACGCCCGTAGTAGCCATGACCCTCGTGCCAGTGACGCCCGTAGTAGCCATGACCCTCGTGCCAGTGACGCCCGTAGTAGCCATGACCCTCGTGCCAGTGACGCCCGTAGTAGCCATGACCCTCGTGCCAGTGACGCCCGTAGTAGCCATGACCCTCGTGCCAGTGACGCCCGTAGTAGCCATGACCCTCGTGCCAGTGACGCCCGTAGTAGCCATGACCCTCGTGCCAGTGACGCCCGTAGTAGCCATGACCCTCGTGCTTTCGCGTGCCTCGTGTGCCATTGCCGCGCGCGATGCGAGCGCCGGGCGTAGATAATCGCGGTCATCCCCAGCGCCTGCTCCCCTCGTCCGCATTCTCTATCCTCTCTCCTTCCTCCCCTGTTCCGCGCCTCGCCGTCCCGCCCTGCGCCCTGCGTGCATCCACTCCCCGCGCCTCCCATCCGCCGTTTTCCCGTTTCCCGTCGTCCCGCTTCCCCTTTCCTCCCCCCACACCCCCCTTGGTGGGCGGGGCGAGCAGGAGGAGCGCGAGGACGAGGGGCAGGCGGAGGCAGCAGCGCCGGTGGCGAGGGAAGTGAGGCGCGCCGAGGTGAGCTGTAGCGCCGAGGTGAGCTGTAGCGCGCAGGGGCTTTCGCCAAGCGGTAAAGGCTTGCAGCAAGGGCTAAAGGCTTGCAGCAAGGGCTAAAGGCTTGCAGCAAGAGCTAAAGGCTTGCAGCAAGGGCTAAATGCTTGCAGCAAGGGCTAAAGGCTTGCAGCAAGGGCTAAAGGCTTGCAGCAAGGGCTTGCAGCAAGGGCTAAAGGCTTGCAGCAAGGGCTTACAGCAAGGGCTTACACCGAGGGTTAAAGGAACCCGTCCCGTTTCGGCCCAGTGTGGCTTTCATGGTTGTTTGATCCCAGAGATGATGGGGGTGGGCGCTGTGCTGGGAGGAGAGAGGAGGGGCCACCGTGGGGATGAGATGGGTGGGAGAGCAGGGCAGGTGGATGAGAGTCAGAGTTGTGCAGTGAGAGTCAGAGTGGTGCAGTGACAGCCCTCTCTGTTGAAGACATGCACACATGCCTTGCTCCTCCACTCCCCGTGCCCTGCAACCCTGCGTGGCAGGCTGTGAGCTTTCTGCCCTTCCCCACTGAAGCCATCACTCTGGAGCGCGGCCTCACTCTGCTCAAGGTACAACGTGACGCCTCTTAGTGGCAGTCAATGTCAGTCAATGTCAGTCAATGGCAGTCAATGGCAGTCAATGGCAGTCAATGGCAGTCAATGGCAGTCAATGGCAGTCAATGGCAGTCAAAGGCATGCCTCCCCTCCCACCATGCATGCCCGTCCCCAGGGCAAGGCGTCCACAACCATGCTGGTCGGGACAACGTCGGACTTGGTGCCGGGCAAGTATGAAGGTGAGGTGATGCATGCAGGCGAGATCAAGCATGTAGGTGAAATGCATTCTTAGTGACATGATACATATTAGGTGAGCGAAATTCTGAGCGAGAGAACAGTTTGTGGCAGGCAGTATGCGCGTTGCTCAGGTGCTTCAGATGTGCTCGCGTGCGTGCGTGCGCCTGTGCGGCAGTGTGGGAACATTTGTGTTCTTGGGAGGCGTGACATGGAGGGTGGTGTGGGGAGAGACATGGATGATATATGCATGCCACCACACCCCAATGCATGCCACCACACCCCAATGCATGCCACCACACCCCAATGCATGCCACCACACCCCAATGCATGCCACCACACCCCAATGCATGCCACCACACCCCAATGCATGCCACCACACCCCAATGCATGCCACCACACCCCAATGCATGCCACCACACCCCAATGTATGCCACCACACCCCAATGTATGCCACCACACCCCAATGTATGCCACCACACCCCAATGTATGCCACCACACCCCAATGTATGCCACCACACCCCAATGCATGCCACCACACCCCAATGCATGCCACCACACCCCAATGCATGCCACCACACCCCAATGTATGCCACCACACCCCAATGTATGCCACCACACCCCAATGTATGCCACCACACCCCAATGTATGCCACCACACCCCAATGTATGCCACCACACCCCAATGTATGCCACCACACCCCAATGCATGCCACCACACCCCAATGCATGCCACCACACCCCAATGCATGCCACCACACCCCAATGTATGCCACCACACCCCAATGTATGCCACCACACCCCAATGTATGCCACCACACCCCAATGTATGCCACCACACCCCAATGTATGCCACCACACCCCAATGCATGCCACCACACCCCAATGCATGCCACCACACCCCAATGTATGCCACCACACCCCAATGTATGCCACCACACCCCAATGTATGCCACCACACCCCAATGTATGCCACCACACCCCAATGTATGCCACCACACCCCAATGCATGCCACCACACCCCAATGTATGCCACCACACCCCAATGCATGCCACCACACCCCAATGCATGCCACCACACCCCAATGCATGCCACCACACCCCAATGCATGCCACCACACCCCAATGCATGCCACCACACCCCAATGTATGCCACCACACCCCAATGTATGCCACCACACCCCAATGTATGCCACCACACCCCAATGTATGCCACCACACCCCAATGTATGCCACCACACCCCAATGTATGCCACCACACCCCAATGTATGCCACCACACCCCAATGTATGCCACCACACCCCAATGTATGCCACCACACCCCAATGCATGCCACCACACCCCAATGCAGGCCACCACACCCCAATGCATGCCACCACACCCCAATGCATGCCACCACACCCCAATGCATGCCACCACACCCCAATGCAGGCCACCACACCCCAATGCATGCCACCACACCCCAATGCAGGCCACCACACCCCAATGCATGCCACCACACCCCAATGCATGCCTTGCACGGTACCACTCCCCCCGCACCCCATTGCGCGACATGCCTTGCACGGTACCTCGTGCCTCACATGCGTGGCATGGCAGGCGGGTTCAAGCTGTGGGAGGCGGCGGTGGATCTGATGGAGGCAGTGCGGGAAGACATGCGCGACGGCACGCTCTCATTCCGCCGCAAGCACGTGCTCGAGGTGCTTTGCGCCCTGCACCGCCCTGCACCGCACTGCGCTGACCCCTTAGCCCCACTCAAAAGTGTGATGCTTGTCTGTGTAGGGCTTGTCTTCTTGGCAGATCTGCAACTCGCCCGCCTGTCCTCGCTCACCTTCACCCGCCCTCCCATCCCTCCACCTCTCCCTCCCTCCCTCCCTCCCTCCCTCCCTCCCTCCCTCCCTCCCTCCCTCCCTCCCTCCCTCCCTCCCTCCCTCCCTCCCTCCCTCCCTCCTTCCCTCCCTCCGTCCCTCCCTCCCTCCCTCCCTCCCTCCCTCCGTCCCTCCCTCGCTCCCTCCCTCCCCCGTCCCTTGTTCCCCCCATTCCCGCCTGCCCCGCATCCACGCCACCCCATCAGCTGGGCTGTGGGCACGGGCTGCCGGGCATTCTCGCTTGCCTCAAGGTGACCCGCCCTCACATGCCACCTCGCCCTCACATGCCACCTCGCCCTCGCATGCCACCTCGCCCTCACATGCCGCCTCGCTCTCACATGCCGCCTTGCTCTCACTGTGCAAGCTGCCCCTTGTTACAACACACCTACTGCTTGCCACATCTCTGACTGCCACGTCCACCTACTGTTAACATGTCTCTTGTATTTAGACTCAGTATTTCACACTCACTTATGAGTTCTACAAACCCGTTTGCTTCCGTCCCCTTCTGTGTCCGTTTCCTTTTCCAGTTTCCTCTTTCACTTGAAACGTCCCTGTTTCCCTTTAGCCTTCCCTCACGTTGCAAATATCCGCACTGCCATGCTCTTCCTGCGCTGCCTGCTCCTCTTCACCCTCCTGCAGCCTGCCGCTCCTCTTCCACGACTCCACCACCCACCTGCCCTCACCCCTTCACTCATACTCGTCTGCTTCTCCTCCTCTTCCCTTCTACCCTTCTTCTCCTCTCCCTTCTCCTCCTTTCCCCATCCCCCCCTGTTGCTTGGTGCCTCTGTCCCACGGCACGGCCCATGGCGCGGTGCTGGTGGCGGGAGGGCAGGGGGCGGCAGCGGTGCACTTTCAGGACTTCAATGCGGAGGTGCTGCTCAACCTCACCATCCCCAACCTCACTGCCAACCTCGCTGCCGCCGCCGCTCCCCTGCGCGAGCGCAGGGACCACAAGGCGGGCAGTGGGGGCGGGGGCAGGGGGGCTGCGGGCGAGAGAGAGGGGGCGTTGTCGCCATGCTCGCCGCCGGTGACGCCCAAGTCGCCCCTGCCTGACCTGCGCACGCGCTTCTTCGCTGGTGACTGGGCCGCCATGGATGGCCTCCTCTCCCTCGCCCATCCCCCCTCCTCCCCTCTCTCTCTCCCTCCCACTGCTGCTGCTGCCACTGATACTGCTCCTACTGATACTGCTCCTACTGATACTGCTCCTACTGATACTGCTCCTACTGATACTGCTCCTACTGATACTGCTCCTACTGATATTGCTGCTGGTGGTACTGCCGCCACTGATACCACTGCTACTGATACTTGTGCCGCCGATACCGCTGCCACTCAAGCCGCTGCTACGGATGTCACAGCCGACAGTGCCTCCCCAAGTGCACCCGCCAGCACAGGCGGCGGCAAGGAGGCGAAGCAGCCGCGGCACGGCAGGGTGCACATACAGCCTCCCCCGCATGCAACCCACATGCCTCTGGAGGGTGCATCTGGCACGCCCTCCTTCTGTGCATCGCCAGGCGGCACTTCGGCATTGGGTCACGGGGGTGGGAGGGCGGGAGGGGGCGGGGGCGGGTACGACATCGTCATGACGGCGGAGACGGTGTACTCGCCGCGCTCCATGGCCAAGCTGCTCGCCCTCGTCAGTAAGGTGCGCTCCATGGCCAAGCTGCTCGCCCTCGTCAGTAAGGTGCGCTCCATGGCCAAGCTGCTCGCCCTCGTCAGTAAGGTGCGCTCCATGGCCAAGCTGCTCGCCCTCGTCAGTAAGGTGCGCTCCATGGCCAAGCTGCTCGCCCTCGTCAGTAAGGTGCGCTCCATGGCCAAGCTGCTCGCCCTCGTCAGTAAGGTGCGCTCCATGGCCAAGCTGCTCGCCCTCGTCAGTAAGGTGCGCTCCATGGCCAAGCTGCTCGCCCTCGTCAGTAAGGTGCGCTCCATGGCCAAGCTGCTCGCCCTCGTCAGTAAGGTGCGCTCCATGGCCAAGCTGCTCGCCCTCGTCTGTAAGGTGCGCTCCCATTGCTGTTTCCAGCAACATTTTCTCTCAACTGCAGCTTTAGTCGGCAGTGTGCCCCTCCTCCACTCTTGCCCCTCCCTCTATCTCGCCACACTGAGCAACATCTCACGGACGAGGGCATGCGGCCTCTGCTTCTAGGCGCGTTAGAACTTATATTCCCCTTTGCGTTAGATTCCCCTCTGCGTTAAATTCTTCTCTGCGTTCCCTTCTGCGATAGATTTCCCTCTGCGTTAGATTCCCCTCTACGTTATCTCACCATTTTCATTCGCTCACCCCTGCGTGCGTTTCCCCCGGCATGGCCTGGCAGTGCCTGCGGCGGCCGCACGGCGTGCTGTACGTGGCGGGCAAGAAGCACTACTTTGGGGTGGGCGGCGGCACACGCCAGTTCAAGAGCCTTGTGGACCAACAAGGTGAGAATGGGAAGAGGGCATATACGAGCAGGAGTAGAGGTGCAGGGGGCGAGGAAGCCTAATGCGATGTGACCAAGGGCTTTCTGCTCGCCCTTCTCTCCATTCTGGTCCTCATACGTTGGTGATGCTTGATGCTCGATACTTGATGCTCCATGCTTTATGCTCCATGCTCAATGCTCAATGCTTGATGCTTAATGCTATGCTTGGTGCTTGATACTGGGCATGAGCAAATCACCGAACCGAACCGGTTCGGTTACTTTAGCGCATCCACTTAGCCGGTTCGTTAACAAACCGAACCAGTTCTTTTCGAGCGTCCTGATCTTAAGATGGTTCGAGGTTCGTATTATAGTTATAGAACTGAACCGAACCGAACTGGTTTGACCTGTTGAGTGCTAAACACTATGCCCCTAGATCAAAACAATACACCGAACATGTCGAACCGTTCGAGGACAAGCCGGTTCAAACCGTGCAAGTCTAATAAACAAAACAAGGTTGAGGTTCGGTTCGCAGCGAACCTAACAGTAACGGACCGACCGTGTCGAGCCGAATTGTGGTTCGGCCCTTTGCCTACTTGATACCTGATGCTTGACGCTTATTGCGTAATGCTTGATGCTTATTGCTCGATGCTTGATGTTTGATGCTTATTGCGATGCTTAAAGCTCGCAGCCCAAATTGGTAAGGTTGACAAAGTGTTGTTTTGAAAGTGTTTTTGTGAATTGTGACTACGAAAGGTGCGAAGTGATGTGATTGGTCAGTGTGGTTCAGCCTCTGTTGTCGTATGTGAGTAGAGTGGAAAAAACAAGACACAGATCGTTGTGCAACATAGGACTTTCCAACCAACCTCAAGGTTGTCCCGGGTTTTTGCCGAGTCAGCAAAAACCTAGAGGTGTCGCGAGAAGCTGCGCAAAATTAAGCAGCCCAGCCTTACACCACCTTGACTTCTTTGTTCGCTCGCCCGGCACCCAACGTCAACCTTAGTAAGGTTGTATAATTTGGGCCACGAGCTTTAATGCATGATGTGCGATGCGCCTTAATGTGATATGGTTAATGCTTAAAGCCCGCGGCCCAAAATGCGGACCACGCAAGTCAACCTTACTATTCTTGATGGTGCATTGTTTTGAAGGTGTTTTTTGGCGAAGTAGGGTGACAGATCGTGTGAAGGGATCTGATTGGCTAGCGCAAATGAATCCGTGTTCATGAAACCTGAAATAGTGCTCACTGCAAGATGGGACTATCGCAACCAAACGCGAGTGGACCCTGGTGTTAGCTAAGTCAGCGAGAAAGAGCGTGGCTAAAAGCTGGGCGAAACCAAGAACCCCCACCCTCCCTGTACCTCGACTTCTCTCTGTCATCACCCCAACGGTCATCCATAGTGAAGTTGAACAACTTGGACTAGGGCTTTACTACGAGATGCTTAATGCTTGCTGCAAATTGACTGGTGCCTAATGACATGCATGCCGTTTCCATTCGTCTCCATCCCGTGTTCAACTCGTGCATGTCCAGGTTCGTTGCACGGCCACTTGCTCAAAGAGGTTGTGGATGGCTCATCCAATGTTCGAGAAGTGTGGAAATTTTTCTACCGGCGGGACTGACCGCTGTTGGATGACATTCTGCTTCAATGGTTGTGCCCAGCCCAGCCCACTCTGGCAAGTAGCTTCTTATGCGCAGTGCTATCAAATGCTGGTGCAACAGATGGAAGAATCCCAAGTATTTGGATTTCAGGGCATTACCTACCAACACCCAGATTTGATCAGCTGAGAAGGGAATTTACTTAGTTTACTTCTACAGATTGTCTACCGTATTGATTTGGGTTGCATTATCAAAACTGTCAGAGGTCCACTGGTGATCCCCGATTGATCCTAGGGAAGGGTTACAGGCAGGCCCCACGTTATCAGGGCAAAACATCCTGATTACCCTGAATTCAGGATGCAGTTTTGAATTTACCCTGTCATTTCAGAATAGTGTAAATTTTTACCCTGAGGCAGGGCTGACTATTCAAAAAAATCCAGTCTGATGTTCTGGGGGCTCTGAAATTTTTTAGTCTGAGGCATATTTCCCAGAGAATGGCCACTCTGATTTTTCAGGTTCCGCAAAAACACAAGTCTGAAGTACTCAGAACACACTACAACCACTGCAGTACAGTACTGCCACAAATGTAGCACGTGGGGCGCAACGCTAACCAGTTTCCCTCGCTGACACCGCGTAGCTGCAGTGATGGTCCCGCGTGAGTGGAAGAGTGAGCCAAGTTGGCAGATTTCTAAGGGAAAAGGGTGGCAAAAGTTGCCAAGGACAGATTCTGCGCGTGACAGCGCCATGAAGTGTGTTCGTACACTGGCAACATATGACGTAGCGGAATGTACGTAGAAATCAAAGATCCGCATTTCAGGATCCGTACTCCCTGTAGTATGAAGACCCATTATCGGCTAAGTCAGTACTCTGAAAATCTCAGGATCCAAAACCAAGTAAGTCTGAGGCACTCATGTTTGAAAATCTTACAAGTCTGAAAAATCAGGATCCGTAGGAAAATACCCTGAGATTTCAGACAATCAGACTATTTTAGTCTGATAAAGTCAGCCCTGCCCTGAGGTCTCAGGATGTTGTTATATGAAATGCCCTGAACATTCAGAATGGCTGTAGTGTTCTTCCCTGTAGCGTCAGGATGAATGCAGAGGCCTGCCCTGACGCGTTTTTTGTTGGGGGGGGGGGGGGAGTCCCGTACCTGGGGAAATTTTCCCCGGGGATTTTTGTCTCCGTGCGCAAAACGACGTTGAAATATTTATTCATCCATCCAACCATCCAGAAGTGGCCTAGTCAGTAGAAAGATTCTTTCGATAGATAAGGGGGGAAGCCAAGGAAGACGCAGGGAACCGCACGGGGGGACATCTTGTCCGCAGACAAGTCGCGGACAAAAGCCCGAGATCCCCAGACACGAAACGCAGACGCATCGCCAACCTTCCCCGTCCACCGCAAGGTGGGGGAGGTCTCTGGCAAAGAGACCCGGGGCTGAAGGGTGATCTGATGCGCTGCGTACTGAACCGCAAACGGCCACAGAAAATGGGGAGCAGCCGCATGGATCATGGACGTACGAGCGACGTCCATGACCATGCCAATGCGGCGCTCAGCAATCCCATTTTGCTGTGGAGAGGCCGGAAGCGTGAAGGTCTGGCGGATGCCCTGTGCACGACAGAAGGCTCCCAGAAGGGCAGAGGAAAACTCCCCGCCTCTGTCAGAGTGCAGACGCAGAACAGGAAAGTCCGAGCCGAAACTCTCTCTGAGCTGGAGACGAGCTGCGCGGATCCAGTCGATCAACACCTCAGTGACGTCACCCTTGCTGCGCAAGGGGAACACCGTGGTGTAACGCGAGTAGTCGTCAACTACCAACAGGAAGTAACGCTCGTGACCCTGTCCACGGACGCGGGCAGGGCCCCACACGTCCATGTGAAGAGTCTGCAGCGGAGCCTCTGTCGGAGGAAACTCGGAGGAGTGAGGGGCGGCGCGCTGCCGCCCCTCGACGCAGGGAACGCAAGTAGGGACAGGCCCCGGAGGGAGGGGAGGGAGGGACCGGGGGAGACCAGAGACAAGGACACGGGAGGCCATGCCTCGGAGACGAGGCAGGGAGGGGTGACCAAGGCGGTGGTGCCAGAGGAGAGTCTGGTGAGACAGGAGACGACACGAGCAGGGGGCAGACTCAGGACCAGACCTGGACGTCGCAGCAGACGCCTGACCCGACGCAGCTACCTGACCAGACGTAGTAGACTGAGGAGGACCAGTAGTCAGTGTGTACAGGCTCGACCCTGGTCGACGGGTAAACGTGGCCAAGTGTCGGCCCGTCCGAGCACACGTGCAGTGGGTCACTCGCTGACTCGCAGGAGTGAACTGGTGAACCCCCCCATCCTGTACATCCGCACCACTCACCAAGTTCGTAGAGAACGAGGGGAGGTAAAGACCTGACAGGGTGCCAGAGGGGGCCGCCGGACACGGTAAGACAGTGGAGAAGTGGGCAAGGACAGGACCCCCGGAGGGGTCTGCCAAGGAGACCGCCACTGGCCGACTAAGCGGCGTGAGTGTGGTGCGGTCTCGAAAGAAGGAGCGGGAAGCACCCGAGTCAAGGGTGAAGGTGTGGGAGGCCTGAGCCGACGTGGTACCTGAGAGAGCAGACTCACCAGCACCTGGGGCAGCAGACTCACTAGCACCGAGAGCAATAGCCTCACCAGCACCTAGAGCAGCAGCCTCACCAGCACCTAGAGCAGCAGTCGCAATGCCCGGGTCAGGCGGAACATACAAGTAACAGTCGCCCTCATCACTAGTAGACACAGCATACATGGCAGCAAGTATAGCATCATAGTCAAGATCAAAGATAGCAACCCCCGCCCTAGACAGCTCTCCCCAGCGAGGGATCTTAGTGGCGTCAGGGAACTGGTGACGCCAAGCGTCCGTCAGGCGGCCGAAGCAGCGCTGGGTGGAGTGCGTGCCCCCGCACTGCTCACCAGCGCGGTCGCCGCTACGGAGGACGTAGGTACAGGGACCAGTACCCCCACCTCGCTGACGCCCAGCGTACCACTCACGAAGCTGCTGGGGGGACGGGGTCTCACGAGTGCGCTGCTGCAGCTGGCGCGGACCACCACCGGAGCCACTCCTCTGTGCAGAGCCGCGACCAGCTCCACCGCTGCCGCCGCCGCCTCCGCCACCTCCGCCGCCCCCGCTCCCACCGCCACCGCCGCCGCCTCCTCCGCCTCCACTGCTGCCACCGACACCTCCACCCCCGCCACCACTCCCACCACCACCCCCACCCCCTCCACTGCCTCCACCGCCACCTCCACCGCCCCCGCCAGCCCCTCCAGCGCCCTTGCCCCCCTTGCCCTTGCCGGTGCGGCGTCTCCCGCCAGGGGCAGAGGCAGCTCCGACCGACTCGAAGCCAACGAGGTCGGCTGCAGCAGCAGAAGCAACAGAGGGCAATAGGGGGGAGGGGGAACACCCCTCAAAGACGGGGGTACGAGGGT